TGGAAACAAATGAAGATGTGTAGAGAAACAAAAACGAAAGGAAAGAAGGCAAAATGGTCCCAAAGCCTAGAAGATGAAGTAATCGAATATAAAAGAACAAGGACAATTAAAAGAAAATACCAGAGAGCAGAAAGAAACAATATGAGCTTAAAGGCAACTTTAACTGAAATTAAGTCAGACCAGAGACTTAAAGAATGGATTTTGCTTGAAGAAGGTAAAGGTGCCCTCGAATTTGGCAAGATAAGAAGGAAATATGGCAAGGAAAGAAGAACACTCATTGTAGAACATTGGACAAGAACAGTAAAAAGAAAGAAAGCAAGATCAGAATACAACTATGCAAAGACTGTCACAAAAATGAAGGAGAAAGAGAACCGATGCAATGCTCATTTACACGAAATTTCAGAAGTAACAGAAGAGTAATAAAGAAGAATTGGATCAAGAAAGCAGCAGACAGTCTAAAAACTTATGAAATTGAACTTACCGTATAAACTCGGAATAACGCTCATGGGCGTTATTTTGAAAATCGGACCCCCTAAAATAGCATATATGATTTCAAATTAACGCCCATGGGCGTTCCGAATTAACGCGCACCCTCATATAAAAAATTATGTCAAGCATATAGCTGTATAAATATAATCTAAATCACGGGGGCAACAAATTAAACACGTAGCCGGGTATCTATATATTAAAAATTTTGATCTTTAGTATGTCTGTCCATGGTAGCCCTTTCATATTTGTTTTACATCATATTTGAAGCGAATTTAATTTATGCATATAATTTAAATATATGCAGTATAACGAATATAATGATAGAGAAAATTAATAAAAATACTGGTAAACTAGCACGTCCTTGCGTCTGTGCCTAGTAAATAAATAAATCGTAGGCTTTAGTTCATATGGGGTGAAGAATAAACAGGCGAAACGTTAGATATCCTATATTAAATATACATTCGAATAAATTATATTTTAATTATTACAGTCATCATTAGTAATAGATATGTCCTGAGTAACTATAGACGCGAAAGTACAACTGACATATCAGCAGCGTAAGCAGCTGATATGTCAGTTGTACTTTCCCAGTAAATTTTCATTTATGCGAATCTCTTAAGATACGTAGATTTGTGTCCTGCTATTTCTATTTTGTAAAACACCGTACTTTGATTCTAGCAAACGATTATCAGAACAAATACCAGTAAAAAAAACTTTAACCTGGTTTAATATCTAGTAACTGGATTATCTAGACTTCAGTAATAAACTATGCTTTATGTTCAATTTCAAATCTCAATTTTTGACGCCATATTTTAAGCATGTACTAGCGCTAGTATTCAATTTTATTTGTATCATCTCGGTTTGTGACAATGGATGAATGCTTATTATTTAGCCCAACCTCAATTAGACTTGATAACCGTTAAATGACTGCGCAACAAAAAAATTAAAGAAAATATTTTTTTTTAAAAAAAATAATTTTTTTTTTTTAAAAAAAAAAAAAAGAAAAATATATTTTTTTTTTTTTTAAAAAAAAAAGAAAATTAATTTTTTTTTTAAAAAAAAAGAAATTATAATTTTTTTTTAAAAAAAAAATAAAACATTGCACTATTATAATATATGAAGCCTTGTATTTATTCTGCTGGTAGGTTCTGTTTTTGCGCAGTGGACTATTAATAAATGGGAAGATAAGTATAAATTTGTTTCATTCATTCTTTTTTATTAATCTATCTATTATATAATAATTCTCATTACCTTATTCATCATCAATGTCCATTTCTTCAGGGTCCATTTCTTCAGGGTCATCATCCGTCATACTTTCATCATCAAACTCATTATCAGGATTTGGTTCACTATCTATACCATCCTGATTTGATGGTTCATTATCTTCCTCAGAAAAGCACACCTCATTCATACGGTTTGCGATAATAGCTTGGAGACGGCTTGTCATTTTGTCATCTTCACTGCCATCAGGGCTAAGCGTAAGTCCAGATGCTTCAAAAGACTTAGCCAAAAGATCTGTGCTGATTTCTCTCCATGTTTCAGAAACCCATTCGCATACCATCTCATATGATGCTTTTTTGAGGTTTCCTTTTTTAGTAAGCCCACCTTTTCCTTCGTCCATCCATTTTTCCCATCTTCGCGTCATGCCATTTTTAAATGGCTTGTTCACTGATACGTCGGGTGGTTGCAAAACGCAAGTAGTTCCACTGGGTATCTCTAGAACATCTAACCCTTCCTAAACAAAAAAATATTTAATTTAAAAGGTTATAAATTTAGTAATCAGAATAAAAATTGAACTTATATATTCTAATTAGAATAAGTTTAATGTTCCAATTGCCTAATACTGATTCTGATTCTATTATTATTTTTTTTTTTAAAAAAAAAACAAAACTATAGCTTTACCATCTTTAATGCTTTAACTACATCATCACGGATATGACTGCTGTGGCGATCAACGAAGATTAGACCTTTACTCTTAAAGAACCCATTCGGCCTGGCACGAATAACTCGTGGAATATAAGTGGAGATCATCAAATCTCCTATCATATTTGCACAAGGTGCTGTGGTCACCACCACGTCTCGTGGAAACCTACCCTTTGGTTTTTTTTTTAATTTGAAAATTACAGCGGGCGGAAGTTTTTCACCGGATGCAGTATAACCCAAGACCACTGTAAAACGCAATTTTTCGTTTCCTGTAGTTTTAATTGGCACTTCACGAACGCCTTCAAAATCGATTGTCGTATTTCGGGGCATATCAAACCACATCGGCGTTTCATCAAAGGAGATAATAAATTTTTTTTCAATGTCTTTTGTCTTTTCACGCGCAGTTTGAAGAAATTCTTTAACAACTAAGGGCGTATCTTCTGGAAGCTTCTGTGCGTATTGTGTCCGAACACGCTCTACCAATTTATTCCGCCGCATGAAACGTTCAACCCAACCAGAGGAGAACTTTGCACCTTGAATATTTAGTGTCTCCCCCAATTCTTTTGCCTTTCTTCTAATCATCGAAGTAGTAACCGACATCCTTTCTTCCCGTTTTTTTTTAACATAGTCTAATAATTCTTTTTCAACTGTGGGGTACTTGGCTTTTGAACCACGGCCAGGTAGAGCTCGCACCTTATCAATACTTGAGTTATGATCGTTTTTGACAACTTCAAGTTCTTTTTTTTGCTTTCTCCATTCTTGGACGCGTTTTCGATCGACTTGATAGAACAAGGACGCCTTACGGTTAGAGGTTTTTTCAGCATATGATATTACATCAAGCTTAAATGAAATAGTGTAGCTTCGCTTATTTCCCATGTTTGCAAGTAAAATTTGGACGCGAAACAAAAAAACAAGATCACATTTATTCAAATGGTACCAGGACATTACTTTAAAGGCACTTTCGTGAATGGTACCCGGGCATTATTTTAGGGGCAGTTTCATGAATGGTACCAGGGCATTATTTTAAGGGCGGTTTCGTTACACAAAAGATCAAAGGAAAAAACGGTCCAAAAAGATCAAATTGAAATTAACCAACGAGCCGATGTCCTACTCAAGGTTATTACTGCTAGTTTTGTGATCCAAAAAAACTTGTATAAAAAAAAACTTGTTCAAAGAAAAAGGTATTGCAAATTAACCAACGAGCCGTTGAAGCCTAATGACTTCAGAGCCGATGTCCTGCTCAAGAAGGTTAATTACTGCTAGTTTCGTGATCCAAAAAAACTTGTCTAAAAAAAACTTGTTCAAAAAAAAAAAAAAAGGTATTCCAAATTAACCAACGAGCCGTTGAAGCCATAATGGCTTCAGAGCCGATGTCCTGCTCAAGAAGGTTAATTATCATAGCGACAGTGTCTTAAACTAATACCACAATAATCCAACCAGAATTAACTTAAATGTTTTTTTTTTATCTTTTTTTTTTCTCCTTTTAACTCAACTGAAAAAAAAGGACATAATTAAAGAATGTAATTTTTTTTTTCTTTAATAAGAAACGTATGTTCATTTATAGTGTTTCATGTTCGAGGTAAACTTCGTAATTCAAAGAACTGTAAAAGAAAATAAAAAAAGTAAAAAAGAAAGACCAGAAAATCCGGTAAATCAAAAAAAAAAAAAAAAAAAAAATTAGAGTTGCTAGCTTTCCTAATCGAAGTATATTTATATATTATCCTCCAAGACGTCAAAAAAAAAAAATCGTTCAGGGTTTTGTTTTACTAAGGTCAATTAAAGCATAAATAGAAATGCCCTTTTTTTTTTATCTGTAACCGGTTTAAAGTAAGTATATATGGGTGGGCATTGTTATTTGTGTCGCATTTTAGATTTTTTCGTATTGTATAAAATGTTCCAAGTTTGAGTAGCTTATTACATATACATTGATTAACGGCCTTTAAATCAAACATCAAATTGAGCTTGGCACTACGTATAAAATTGAAACTATTGGCAGGTTAGGCAGCACAACATATAAGGCGCACATGCGCGTTATTTTAAAAAAATATTAATTTGGAAAATCAGCCCTTGTTTCGAAATATCGCACATGGGCGTTCCAAAATAACGCGCAGGTCATTTAATTAACGCGCAGATGGGCGTTATTCCGAGTTTATACGGTAGCCCAGAAATGTTAAGTTGGAAAGAAGGAACGAAAATCAGTACAGAAAAAGCAAACATGGCCAAGAAGCTCTAGATGTGATCAAAATAGGACCTTTGTCTGAAGATCTGATTAAGAACCAAGTCAAGGAGAAAGAAAAACAAGAAGATTTGATTACAATTGCATGAGAACTGCAAGATGTAAAAAGAATTAGCTTTTATACAGACAGGTCATTATATGAAACAAAGGAGCTGATGATATACAAAGGCCACAGATGGGCGCAGGATGGGTAGCAATTACAAAACACAAAAAAGAAGTGAAGAGGAAAGAGCAAGTTTTAGCTGCGCATTCAAGGAATGGCCTTCCTCAACAAGAGCAGAGTTGGGAGCTATTTGGACAGCATCTTTAGTAGCATCATAAGATGCAGAATTAACAATTTACACAGATAGCCTGGCCACCATACAAGCACTTAAGAATAAAAATGGAAAAGAAAAAGAAAGAGAAGCATTCAAGCTCAAAAATGCAAGTCTTTTACGGCAAATTCAAAAGACATGGAAGCTAAAGAATCTTAAAATACAGCTAAAAAAAGTCAAAGCGCATAGTGGGGATATATATAACGAAAATGCAGACAGATTAGCAAAACAAGGAACAAGAGAGCAAAAAATGATCACAGCAATTTGGCCTTAGACAAGAAGGTCACGCATACTAGCAAGGTGGAGTGAGATTGCAATAGATAGTCTAATGAGAGAAGTTGTAAACAAACTAGCTTTAGCTACTATAGATGCTAAATGGGCAAATTTAGATAAAAATAGTAGATGGTTAGATAGAGAAAAAGAGAAGGAATTAGATTGGAGAAAAACATGGAGGTGGCTAGATAAAAACAAGGGCAAAAACTATACAAGTAGAGAAAAAAACAAGAAGTGGACATTTCAAGTTAGGTGCTTGGGAGAGATTCTACCAACCTTGATGGAACTGAATACAAGAAGACCTGAAGTGTACAAAACAAACACTTGTATAATATGCAAAGATAAG